GATGTCTAATTGATGGTCTTATTTCTTTTTTATTTTATTTTATAGAAATGTAGATCTGCAGAGATCTGTGAAGGGTGTACATGAGAATTGGAGGAGTCGGGGTATTTGTAGTGTAGGCCTAACCCGTGTCAAAATTTCGAGCTTTCTTTTGGGGTAGAACAGGGTAATCTGGATGCCCAGTTGGTGGTCTTATTCCTTTTTTATTTTATTTCATGGAAATGTAGATGTGCATAGATCTGTAAGGGATGCAAATGAGAGTTGGAGAAGTCCGAGTATTGAAAGCGTGGGTCTAATTCATGTCAAAATTTCGAACTTTCTCTCGAGGTAGAATAGGGTAATCCGGACGTTCGTTTGATGGTTTACTTCCTTTCGGTTATTTCATTTTGGTGGGAATGCAGAGGAGTGCAGAGGTCTATGAGAGTTGGAGAAGTCCGAGTATTGGAAGTGTAGGCCCAGCTCGTGTCGAAATTTCGAACTTTCTCTTGGAGTAGAACAGGGTAACCTGGATGTTCAGTTGGTGGTCTCGTTTCTTTTTTATTTTATTTCGTGGAAATGTAGATGCTTGTAGGTCTATGAGAGTGTAGACGAGTTACAGGAGTCTGGATATTGGAAGGATGGGTTTAGTTCGTGTAAAAATTTCGAACTTTCCCTTAGGCTAGGACAGAGTAACCTGGATGTCCATTTGGTAGTCTCTTTTCTTTCTTTTTATCTCATTTTCGTGGCAGTATAACAGAATCCATGTCTATAAGGAGAGTTGAAGTCCGAGTATTGAAAGTGTGCACCTAGTTCGTGTCAAAATTTCAAACATTCTCTGAGGGCAAAATAGTGTAACCTGGACGACCATTTAATGGTCTCGTTCCTTTCTTATTATTTTATTTTCATGGCAATGTAGGTGTATGTAGCTCTGTGAAAGACATAGCTGAATAGAGAACTGGGTTTTAACCACAAAGTGACACAATGCCCAGAAAACGAATAAAAATGGTCACACGAAGTGCTACTCTTGCTCCTCGACAGTAAAGCGTTTTCCTAGCATTCGAATCGAAGTAGTCGGCGAAGAGAAAGGTTGCCATAACAGTAAAATAAAAGTTGGATGCCCGTTCTGACTAACCCCTTCAGTACTGAACAGTTTTCCAGCGAGAACTCTGTGGACTTTGTACCTGGCAAGTTTGAGAATGGACTATGAGACTGTAGGGTAGCTCGTTTAACTGAAATAAGCCATACTTCACCCTTAATTACAGCTACTGACGTTTCTCGTGGAAAGATTTAGCAAAAGATGCAACTTCTCTTCGATTTAACATTATGCAACATAATCAACATTTAACCCTATGCACTCGGCGATTTTTTCGTTACAGAAAAATAGTACTTCGAGTAATATGCAAATTAAGTTGCAGAATTATTTTAATTCTACATTCCACGCATCGTTGGGTAATTTTAAATTTGATATATTAATTAACATCGATTTTTAGAATCTGATTAAATGGCAATGGAGAGTCGTCTCTCGAGTGCAAAGGGGGTTAATACCGTGTAACATTATTATTATTATTATTCTTAACGTATCTCCATATTAATAATTTTATTTTATAATTCTCTTCAAATTTTCCTAGGATTATATCCCTACAGGAATTATCCTATCTCTATACCTGATTTAGATAGATCTCTGGGGGTCCCTCTCATAGGTTTGCTTTTCTAGTCTTGTGCTTCCTACGGTACTGCTGGTTGGTATCCTCTTGGCCATCTTGCTGTGATAGGTAGCAGGTAGAAGGACGCAAGGAAGGGATGCCTTTCGTCCTGGGCCTGTTAGTGGACTCCTCAGTAAGGTCTTCTAGCAGACCCTACCTAGACAGAGGACACTTAGGTAGCATAGGAATTTGTATTTATATAAAGTCGAGGATTCACCGAGGACTTGCGAGAAATCTCGAACCTCCGTTTTCCATCTAGCGGTGAGAATATGAACTATAAATCAACTCATACCAAGAAATGCGAGATTAACTCGGTGGAAAAAGAAAAATAATCTATCAACGAGTTAGTTTGTAACAGTCCCATCGAATTTTCCCCACATAGTTCTTAAAACAAACGATTACGAGTGCCTAGGTGCACACTGTGCACCTAGGCATCAAGCAGTCGGAGAGCTCTCCGAGCTAAAGTCGGACAGCACCGGTGCAGATTACGCGATGACGGGATAAGTTGCGTCGATGGGAAAGTAATGGATGTAACGTTTGGTTGCACGAATGATTGGAAAGTACCGTTTCGAATTGTTCACTGGGATTATCGGGGATTTCGGAGACCTCGGGGCGATCGGCTGACCGGGATCTCGCAGCGAATTTTTCAAGCGAGGAATTTTCAGTGGTATTGTTTACCTATTCGCCTATAGTGCGAGGCTCGAAGGCGAGGAAGTCGGTCCGAACGAGAGTGTTATGATCGAGAGGCGTGGTTTCTAGACAGGGCTCGATGTAAACAGCATAGTTCAGGCTCACGGTCAATTTTCACCGGTGTCTTCCTGTCTCAGTTACGTGTTGTGCTCGAAACGGTTCGACGTGTCGCCACGTGCTCCTTTGCTGTCGATTATGGCACCGGCTGTGGGAACTGAAATTATAGAACCAGGGGTAAATTCGATAAATTGAGTGTTTGAATAGTTTAATTTTGAAAGTGCGTGCTTGTGTGCTTGATTAGTTTTAAGTTGTGACGAGTATACTTGGTGGCAGAGTGCATTTGGAATAAGATTGAAGCGAATTGTAACAAAGCTACACTAACACTGGTGGTGATGTATGTATTATATGCACGTCAGATCGACTCTATATTACTACAATAGTAGTGACTTGAAGTTAAATTGCACTCTATCAATAGTAGTGATTTGAAGTCAAATTGCTCCCTATCAATAGTGGCAACTTGAAGTCAAATTGCACTCTATAAATAGTGGCGACTTGAAGTCAAATTGCACCCTATCAATAGTAGTGATTTGAAGTTAAATTGCAGTCTATAAATAATGGCAACTTAAACTCAAATTGCACACTATAAATAGTGGCGACTTGAAGTCAAATTGCACACTATAAATAGTGGCGACTTGAAGTCAAATTGCACCCCATCAATAGTAGTGATTTGAAGTCAAATTGCATTCTATAAATAGTGGCAACTTGAAGTTAAATTGCACTGTATCAGTAGTGGTGATTCGAAGTCAAATTGCATCCTATTAATAGTAGTGATTTGAAGTTAAATTGCACTCTATAAATAATGGTAACTTAAACTCAAATTGCACACTATAAATAGTGGCGACTTGAAGTCAAATTGCACTCTATCAATAGTGGTGATTTGAAGTCAAATTGCATTCTATAAATAGTAACAACTTGAAGTCAAATTGCACCCTATCAATAGTAATGATTTGAAATCAAATTGCATTCTATAAATAGTAACAACTTGAAGTCAAATTGCACCCTATCAATAGTAGTGATTTGAAGTCAAATGCATTCTATAAATAATGGCAACTTGAAGTTAAATTGCACTATATCAATAGTGGTGATTCGAAGTCAAATTGCATCCTATTAATACTAGTGATTTGAAGTCAAATTGACTGGATATCAATAGTGATAACGTGAAATCAAATTGCACCCTACTAATATTGGTGATTTGAAATCAAATTGCACCCCTCCAATAGTGGTGATTTGAAGTAAAATTGCACCCTTTTAATGGTAGTGATTTGAAGTCAAATTGGCTTAATATCAATAGTGATAACTTGAAGTCAAATTGCACCCTACTAATAATGGTGATTTTAAATCAAATTGCACCCTGCCACTAGTGGTGATTTGAAGCCAAATTGCACCCTATTAATAGTAGTGATTTGAAGTCAAATTGACTCAATATCAATAAAGGTAACTTGAAGTTAAATTGCACCCTATCAATAGTGACGAACCTATCAATAGTAGTGATTTGAAATCAAATTGCATTCTATAAATAGTAACAACTTGAAGTCAAATTGCACCCTATCAATAGTAGTGATTTGAAGTCAAATGCATTCTATAAATAATGGCAACTTGAAGTTAAATTGCACTATATCAATAGTGGTGATTCGAAGTCAAATTGCATCCTATTAATACTAGTGATTTGAAGTCAAATTGACTGGATATCAATAGTGATAACGTGAAATCAAATTGCACCCTACTAATATTGGTGATTTGAAATCAAATTGCACCCCTCCAATAGTGGTGATTTGAAGTAAAATTGCACCCTTTTAATGGTAGTGATTTGAAGTCAAATTGGCTTAATATCAATAGTGATAACTTGAAGTCAAATTGCACCCTACTAATAATGGTGATTTTAAATCAAATTGCACCCTGCCACTAGTGGTGATTTGAAGCCAAATTGCACCCTATTAATAGTAGTGATTTGAAGTCAAATTGACTCAATATCAATAAAGGTAACTTGAAGTTAAATTGCACCCTATCAATAGTGACGACTTACACTCAAATTGCAGCTTATCAATAGTGGTGACTGGAAGCCAAATTGACTCAGTATCAATAGACACGATTGGAAATCAAATGGAAAATATATACCTCTATCTAAGGATACATCAAATCGACATTATGTCACTACTATACATCACTACGAAGTCCATTTCACTTTGACTCACCACTATTCACAGGAATTCAATTTACCCTCAAGTCACTACCATTAATAGAGAATCAATTTCACTTCGAGTCACCACTATTGATAGCAATTCAATTCGACGTCAAGTCACCATTACTAATAGGAAATCAATTTGACGTCGCGTTACCACTAGTGCTATGAAACTAGTGCTATGAACCCTCCACTCGAAGTTTAAAGCAACGAGAGCTAAAATACCATACTATAGTGTTTCAAAATTATTCTTCTTTTTTTTTTTCTTCTTTTTTTTTGAAGTCACTGCCCAATCGGATTTACGCTGGCAAAGTTCAGCGATCCTGTAATACAATAAGCCACGATTTTGAGTATGACATTCCATCTTATGGGGTACGTTCATCCTGTTGCAGACTATGAGGCTCACTAAACGTATAGACGAGGTCAGGTTGCTCGAGTCACGTAAGAGTGCCCGGCTGGCCGATCAGGATACAGATTTCGCTAGGCTCGCCGATATGGCTGGTGATCGCAAACGGGCCTCATCTCACTCCATCGATGTGCCACACGTGATTGGGTAAGTCCCTAATTTTACTCCCAATAAATACAATTCGCATGAATTTTATCTTAACATCGAATTTTTCTATCTCGAATTCACGTCGGATTTAAAACTTCCTTTTCACACGACCGATTTACGTGAAACCCATTTTGTAATCTTTCTTATATACCTATAAATACATATTCCCATAGGGGATTGTCTTTTATCGAGTCTTTGCACTTGGTTGGTCATATTCGACTGTGTTATTCCGTATATACACGGTATCTCTCGAAAATATTCGAATTTTCTATTTCAAAAGCATTTTCTAACCTAGAAATTCGGATTTTGACGGAAGTATAGTAAAGTATAGTAAATTACGCGTGCAATAATTATTTTATTGGCAGAAAATTACGACCAGGGGGTAAAATCAATGATTAAAATTTTGATTCGACGATTCGAAAATTTTTGAGAAATTCGTGAAAATTCTGATTAATTATATCGTTGAGTCATGACTGTGTCTCAAGATATAATAGTATTTCATTTTAAATTTATATAAAACATTGATCATTATAGTTAGTAATGATAAAGCTGATAGAACTAATTAACATACTTAGGAGTAAGAATAGATAGGAATTGAATATAATACAACAATAAAATAGATTAGTCTAGCCATCAACGAGACATGTCTCTCCGTCAACTGTTCGAGTGACACTCATTTTGGAACGCAGGAATTTATTCAAAGTAAATACCAAACGTTGCTTCAGTCTAACTACATACCAACTCCAAGTGCAAAGACTTAATTATCTCCCCAGCAGACCCTCTGCTACCCAACTAACTCGCCAACGTCAATAGGTATCCTGTCATCCCCGAGAATCCCAAAGATCCTCCAAATCCTGCACGCAATCGTTCCCACAACCGACGTACAAAATCCAATGAAGGAACCACTAACCACCACTGTATCGGCTTATAAATCATCGACTCGTGAGTACAATTCAGGTCCGATTCGTCATTCGCTGAATGAGACCTCGTTGAGAAGGAGCCTAACTCTGCGCTAGACGCGATAGGGGTTCAAGCAAAGGTAGCGATATTTTCGAGAAAAAATTCGTTTTTCGATGGAAACCGGGATTTTCTGGTAGTCGAGAGGCAATAGTAGTATAAGTGATACACACCTACTCTCGTAATCGAACGATTTCAGCCTCCCTTGGAAAAATTCTGGGCGCCTGCTCGGACCCTTGCACGCTAGATTTCGCGTGGACACGCGTGGGCCTGCGTACACCGCCCTCGTTCGCACACTATTACTGTGTGGATAGGAGTATATGTATAGCCTGAGAATATTTTGCGAATATTTTGGAAAATATCGGAAATATTTGGGTTTACTATTTACAGTAGCAGTTAATCTTGTTTCAAGGAAGGATTGGTTTTGATCGTGAAAATAGAGAGGAAATTACAAATTTTCGTCAATTTTGTTTATTAACATTCGCGATTAATATTATTATATGATATGTTAAAGGGAAGTCAAAGTTTGGAACTCAAAAATATTAAAAATTTATCTACTATCATTAATAATTGCATAAATAAAAATACATAACATACAGGAAAACAGGAAGCTTGGTGATACAACATACCTATCGTATTCACGAATGAAGACAAAAGTACAAAATGAATAAAAATAAAAGAAAATTGGTGGATTTTGTTTCGGGGAAGAGTCACCTCTAGTGAGATCTCGTTAGTTTTGTCTATCAACATTCGCGGGTAATATTCGAATTTTGGGGCTCTGAAATGTCAATATTCCATCTACTATCATTAATAATTGTATGAATAAAAATACACAAAAAACTGGAAGCTTGGTTATTCAAAACACCTGAATTAAGCAACCAAAAATTTCTCCATTTTGACTGTCATTATCTCAAAGAACAGACTCATAAGACTAGCTGAAAGTTTGGCTACCCAAGACACCTAAATTTCCCCAACCATCATTGTCGTTCGAAATAGATCCAAAAATAAGAATAGAAATTAACATATGGAAGAACAAAAGCATCGGTGAGCCAGAACCCTGGTACCCGAAGAGACCCCAGCTTCGTGGTTACTACTTAACTTGGCTGGTTACTATCAATATTTTCGAAGACATCCAATCTCCATGCTTCACGCGCCCCACCCTGTATACACGGGCACAAGCACACCCGATTTCCGTGTGCGTGTCGCGCCTAAAAATCGAAGGTATCTCCGCCTAGTTCGAAAAAGGCTGCGCGCACCCACAGGCTGCATCAGGAGGGAGCGTTAAAAGGCGTCTGGTTGCCGATCGTTAGACCGTGAACGCACCCTCGCCGGACACCTGTCCCTCGCCTTTCCACCACACGCAGTCGTCCAAGTGCTTTTCGTCTCTCACCCTCGTGAAACGTCCTGGAATCCGATCCAACCGTCGCGATTCCACGTCGGCCATGGGGGGACGCGTTTCGTGGGATCGACGAGCGCGGAATTTCTACGGAGACGAGGGAGAGCTTTGACCTTTCCGAGGGGCGGGCATTTTGTCTACCGAGATGTCGCCACCGGAGCCCACGCAGCCTTTTTCCCGCCACCGTTAAGATACTACTCGAGGTATCAGGTTTGAGGTTAGAGCTGTGGCTCCTCGATGATCTTGGGATCTAGGCTCCCAAAATTTGAATTTTAAATTTCGGATTTTGGATTTTACGTGTTTATTGGAGATTGATGATTGGGTTAGAGGGATTTGCGTGGTTTAGTGGGGAGTATAGAGGATTGGGGAATATTGGGGCGAGTGTAGTGTTGTTTGACTATTTCAGAGTTTGGTCTGTGGATATATTACTTGATCCTGGGATCTTCAACTGGTTTTGGGGTTTTGGTTTTAGTTGTTGATTGGAGATTGGTGCTTAGGTTATAAGGATTCGAGTTATGGAGTTGGGAGTATAGAGGTTTGGGGAATATTGGGGATAGTTTAGTATTGTTTGACTCCTTGAGAGTTAGACTTCTAGATATAATAATAATACTTAAGCCTGAGGTCCTCAATTGATTTCGGGTTTTTGGTTTTAGTTTTTGATTAAAATTCCGATTTTTTAATTATGTAGTTGAGGAATATAGAGATTCGTGCAATATTGGGGCTAGTTTAGTATTGTTTGGCTATTTGACAGTTAGACCTTTGCATGTATTACTTCATCTTGAGATCTTGAACTGATTTTTGGGAGTTTGGATTCAATTGTTTATTAAAATTTCGATTTTTGGATTATTTAGTTGAGAAATATAGAGATTCGTGGAATATTGGGGCTAGTTTAATGTTATTTGACTACCTGATAGTTAGATCTTTGCAAAAATTACTTGATCCTGAAATTTTTAACTGGTTTTAAGATTTTGGTTTCATTTCTTGATTAAATGTTCGATTTTTGGGTTCCTTAGTTGAGGAACATAGAGATTCGTGGACTATTGGGGCTAGTTTAGTATTGTTTGGCTACTTGACAATTAGATCTTTGCATACATTACTTGATTCTGGGATCTTGAACTGATTTTTGGGATTTTGCTTTCAGTTGTTCATTAAAATTTCGATTTTTGGATTCCTTACTTGAGGAATATAAAGATTCGTGGAATATTGGGTCTAGTTTAGTATTGTTTAGCTACTTGATAATTAGACCTTTGGTTACATTTGGTTACATCGATCCGGGGATCTTAAATTGGTTTGAAGATTTTGGTTTCATTTGTTGATTAAATTTTCGACTTTTGGGTTCCTTAGTTGAGGAATATAAATATTCATGGAATATTGGGGCAAGTATAGTGTTGTTTGGCTCCTTTAGAGTCAGACCTTTGGACATTAGATGATCTTCAGATTTTGGATTGATCGTGAACTTTTATTTTATTCGTAGATTCTAAGTTGAGCCTCGATTTTATGGTTCAGAGAGTCTAAATTATTTTCAGTTATGTTACTTTAGTTTACCACGGTATCGCAAGATACTAGATCGCGATTCTTTTCCTCGAAACGGTATTTCGCGCTTATGATTTTATGTAAATACATTTATCGCAGTTGCGAAAGTATATTCCAGCTGAGAATGAACTTCTAACTAGTCGAGTTTGAAACTAAACGGAAGACACTTCGAGGATCTCAGAAGTTTGATCGAATCAGAGTCTCAGAAATACACCGGTATGATTCCCAACCACTTAGGAACCCTCCTACAATAACCTTCTTTTGTTCATCTCTACCCTCGAAAATTCTCTGTTAGATCTCCATTAGATCCTCGACCACGTAATCCACCTAGCTGCCAAAATTGCCTATCAGATAATTACATCTTCCCGTAAAACCCAATCCCAAATTCTATTCGAATAAATAAATTCAATAACTGCTTTAACCTATTTTATCACACTGCTCTTACCTCCCATTTCAAGGAATATTTATACCCATTCACCGAAATCCCTGTAAACTGTCACGGTTCACCGACGACCCCAAGCTGAATTCCTCAAAACACCTGCATAATTTCAATAATTATCTTGTCGTATTTAATAATCCCACTCTTATCTTTCACTTAACTCGATCAATGGGTAAAATCAAATTTTTCTACAGACGTAACAAAAGCGCAATCCCTACGAGCTGTCATGGGTCACCGATCACCCCAAACCTCCTCACGCTCCACCTGCCTAACTTCCCCAATTTTAATAACTATCTCAACATTTCCTAATTCATTAATTCCACTCTTATCCCTCGCTGAGCCCCAGCAATGAATAAATCAAGGACTGTTTATACCGGCCTAATGAAAGCCTAATCCCTGTCAACTGCCACGGGTCACCGATCACCCCAAACTTTTTGTACCTCGTAAAAATGCAAATAAAACAGATATACGACTCCATCAGGCGGGTAATTCTTCCTTCGCGATGCTTTCGCAACCCTCGATCAAGCTTTAGGACCTACGAATCCCACCCTTTCACGTGTCCCTACCCCCCACTAGGTTAGGAGATAGGGAAACTGTGATCTGGGTGCGTGGGGGTTACTCTGCGTTGCACGAAAGAAGTCATCTGAGAAACTTGTAGGACCGAATCCCCCCAGT